TCCCAAAAGTAAGGTCAAACAACCAAACCTCACAGTCACAGCAGGTCTATTCCCAAATACACTCTGCAGCATCAAACCAGAGAAGACCCAGGAAACAGGCTGCTTCCTGGAGGAGAACAGTCAGCCATCAAAATCTGCATTGCCTCAGCCAGACTGACACTGGTACCTGACCTGTAACACAGTAACTGCACCACAGTCTATTGATGCTTTCCATGCCCTTCCTCATTTACCACCTTTCTACCTGGACTGGTATACATGTAGAGGGAGGCACAGGCATTCAGATCTGACAAAAAAGTTGCTGTTATATCTTCTGGTTCACATCAAGAAACAGCAAAATGCTGCAATAGCAGTATTACCGCAGCCATTTCACAGACCTGAAGAATGATCTTTGTGTCTTAACACTTTTTTAACCACATCTGCTAACTTGGTAAGTCTTCTTTCCCTCTCCTACAAGCCTTAACTCAAACACAGCAAGTTACAGAAATGCCTGTATCAGTAATGGCTGCAGTCCTTGAAACCAACAATTTGTTAATTCAAACATTCTTGACAAAGCTTGAATGCTGTCAGTGCTCCAACAGATCATGGCTGGAAACTTAGAGACCATTATTAACACTCCACTAAAAAGCTCAAGGTCTAGCACTGAGCGAGTTTGGCTCTGCAACTTTCTGGACTCTTCCCTATGACAACATTGAAAGTTTTCTACCCATGAGGACATTTTAGCTCCCAGGTCCATACAGCCCAGCGACCCTCCAAATTCAGCTGAGGACGAAACCTGGATCTCTAGCTTTGCCTCATACCAGGGATCCTGGCAGGACACCAGGGTGTGCAGGTCAGACAGCAGCTGAGTACCACCCCTTTAGCTGCTGAGGGAAGCAGCTGGAGGAACAAAACCCCAGTGTGCACTATGGGACAGACCTTCCCCACAGCTTTGAGGCCCATGGCGCACATTCCCTTACAGTACAGCTTAAAACAGCAGAGGAAAGGAAGCAGCTCACTGTCAAAATCCACACTAGGAGAAGCCACCTGCTGCTGCTACTGGAAGTACATTTTTCTCCACCTACCAGTTCTTATGTGTCCAAAGGAGAATTGCTCCAGCTCCTTCTAAAGTTCACACATCTTCTACGCTTGCAAAGCTCAGTGACAAGAGCACTTAACCAAAACCGCTGTCAGCAGCACTTCAAAGCACAGTCTTGAACAGATTAAGTTTCCTAACTTTTAAAAGCAATTTCAAACCAACATTTTGCTATATTTCCTTCACCAAATGAACAACAACAATAATAAAAGGCTAGGATATTAAAACAGTTTCCTTCTATCAGGAAACTAGACATCAACCAAGTACAGATTCACTAGCTGAACAGAACTCAGCTCCTGTTACGTATCTCAGTATTTTATATCCTTTGGTTTCCATCAATACACAAGGGCACATAGATCAGAAGGCTCCATCTTTTCCTAGCTGATTAATGACAGTAAAAAATTCATATGCCCTCTACACACTGAAGTTATCAGTGCTTTGTTTGAGGTATGAAACTTACAATAAAAATGCAAGTTTCACTATGAAATCTTCCCTGTCCAACAGCTCTCTCACTTCTAATCCCCAGTTCCCAGATGCACTAAGAATTCTGCAGTCAGCATCTTGGATGTCTCTCAATCCATATTCTGAAGCATACCTCTGTTTTGCTTTAATTGCATTAACATGCACATGGGTACTGCAGGGCCTTTCTGTACCTTTGGATAGAGAAGCAGTGCTGTTAACCCACCTCAGAACCACTAGCAGACAGCCTAGCATATGACCCCAAGCTCTCCTGTCCCGTGAGAGGTAAGTGGTGAGGCACAGCTACCTCAAACCAAAAGAATCTCCCCCCAGGAGTAACAGCATTTCTTCCCCCTGTATTCTGACGCAGCAGGTTTGTTGTAGCTGTGTGCCTGCAGTACCAGTCTCTCGCTGTTCAGCACATACAGACACCACCACCAGCAGTTATCACACAGAGTCAGGAATTCAGCTCCTCTGAAAGGTGTTCTGTATCAGTCTCTGTGGCGCAATCGGAGAGCGCGTTCGGCTGTTAACTGAAAGGCTGGTGGTTCGAGCCCACCCAGGGACGGATGAACTCCCTTTTAAGGACCAACAACCAACTCATAAAGCCCAAGGAGGGGAAGTGCCAAGTCCTATCCCTGGGAAGGAACGAGGACAGGCACCAGTAGATGCTGGGGCCACCCCACTTGGCAAGCACCTTGGCAGAAATGGACCTGGGGATTCTGGCAGACACTGAGTGAACACAAGCCAGCAAAGTGTCCTTATGAGAGGGCAGACTGACAGCAGGGTAAGGGCAGCAATCTTTATTCTCTCCTTAGCACTGGAGAGGCCACAGCTTGAGTGCTGTGTCCAGTTCAGGGCTCCCTGGTACAAGAGAGACGTGGACATAGTGGAGAGGGCCAAAGGAAAAGCCACAAAGATGATAGTCTGTGACTGTTCAGCCTGGAGAAGGCTCACAGGGGATCTTATTAATATATATAAATACCTGAATGGAGGGTACAAAGAGGATAGTGCCAGGTTCTTTTCAATGGTGCCCAGTGGAAGGACCAGAGGACAAAGGCATAAACCAGAACAGACAAGGTTCCAGCTCAGGATCAGGAAACACTTTTTCACTGTGAGGCTGATTGAGCACTGGCACTGGTCACCCAAGGAGGTGGTGGAGTCTCCTCTCCTTCCTTGGAGATACTCAGAAGCTGCCTGGACATGGTCGTGAGTCAGGTAGCCCTACCTGAGCAGAGGGGTTGGACCAGATGACCACCAGAGCCCCCATCCAACCTCAACCACTCCGTGTTCAGCATTCTATTCAGGAGAAAAATAGAAGTGAAATCACATCTAGGCAAATGTAATCGCTGATTTCTGGCACCCTGAGTGCCCAATCTACCTAGAACTTCAGCTTCTCATTTCATACCAAGCTCAGGCATTACCAGTATATAAGGCTCAACTCTTCACAGAATATTCTGAGTTGGAAGGGACCCACAAAGATGATCAAGTCCAACTCCTGGCCTTGCACAGGACAAGCCCAAGAATCACACCATGTGCCTGAGAGTATTGTCCAAACACTTCTTGAACTCTGTCAGGCTTGGTGCTGTGACCATTTCCATAGGGAGACTGTTCCAGTGCCTGACCACCCACTAGGTGAAGAAGAATCTTTTTCCAATATCCAACCTAAATCTCCCATGACAACTTCAGGCCATTCCCTCAAGTTCTCTCCATCTTGCTTCCATAAGCATCCTTACTTCTGTCCTGGATTACACCTGCCCACAGGCTTGTTATCTTTCTCATACCTACCCTGAATTAAAACAATTATGTTTAAAGCTGAAATTCAGAGATGATATATAACCTCTAACCAATATAAAACATTTATACATTACATTTCTGTGCTATGCATTTTATTAGTATATTAATAAAGTATGTTTGATAGTTAGATATACTTACTATACTGTGCATTATAATATTTCTATTTTATATTTTGTGTATAAAAGGTATTACTAAAACTGCCTTCACAGTTTGGGGGGCTGCTACTGTTCTTCCCTAAACCTAGAGTAGCTAGATCTGGAGATTCTCATTACTATGTTAAAGAACAAGTTTCATGCTGTCAAGAACATCTGGATAGCCACATTCCTCAGAAATTCCAGCCTGACAAGCATTAAGAACTGGGAACCAAGCACTTCTGTCAAAAGGATCCAAGTAGACGTATTCCCAGAAGTAAATCCAGAGCTGATGAAACACAGAAAACACTAGAAGCGTTTCCTTCCAATCATGATTAGACACTTCTATTTTAAGTCTTCTTCTGAGTTTGGGGGTTTTTTTAGAGTCTAACACAAAGACCTAGAGCCCAGGAGTTCTAGAATTTGACTGCACAGCTTCTTGACAGAGCAATGATGAAAGGAAAAACCATTCCTCAGGGACATAACCAAACATGCTTAAAAGATGAAGACAGACAAGCTAGTTGCTAGTCAATTAGAAAACATCTGCTTAAAAAAAAAATCTCTAACTGCTCACAGTCACACTAAATATGCTGTTTCAGAATACTCCTCTCCCCAGAAATATTCTGCAATGGAATAAGGAGTAAATGACTTAATTCTTTTGCAGAACAATACCCACTATTCAGAGCGCCCTGCTGTCCCCTCTCTCTGACAAAAGCTGTCAGATCTGGGAAAGACAGAATTAAAGATGAATCCAGATCCCGTGATAAAAGGACCTTTTGTGAGAAACTGAAAGTTAAGTCTCTTCTCAACAAAGGGATGCATCTAGACTAGGGGTCAAACAAATACGGAAATAAATTACAGTCATCTGCCAGCACTACAAAACATGCCAACTATTGATGAGAAAATAAAGTCACTCAGAATTTTAATGCTCCTACAACTTTCCTCTGCTGCTAGCCTACAAAGCCCAAAATTCTTTGACCTCAATGCTAACAAACAAGATTTACTCAGCCCATATATTCTGCATGAAATAGTAGTGCAAATCTAGCATTTTAATACAATATTTATGTATATTTAATATTAATTACATTTACATATTTAAATTATCCTATTACATTAACAATACTAGATACAATATTTGGTAAAAACAACTAGCACGGTTAAGTCTTCAAATTCTGGTACTGTTTTCTATCAAGTATAAAACAGAATAGAAAACAAAATCTCCATGTGAATAATGTGTATTTTAACAGAAGCAGCCAAGACCTGTTGCAAAACACAGATCATGTATGCTGACATTCACACAAAACCTTGCAGTAATTAAAGGTACTGTCATTCACTATATTTACAAGAAACTGCTTAATATAGTTCAGTTACCAACTGCACTACAGTGATTATTTAAAAAAACCAAAACCACGCACAACACAGCATCCTTGTCTTGTCCTTCAGAAATAAGAAATAATTTGTAGGAAAGAAGTGACACTGTTTAAACTACATGTGCTAGAATATAAACAACTCCGCAACAGGAAGAGGTTAAAAAAGTCGAATACTGTGGAAAAAAATTTATTAAGTCTATACAAGTCTTCTGAAACAAACCATTGGCTTTGATACAGTAAATTCAAGTGAATACTCATTGCAATAGTATTTTTTCATACAGAGATCAAGAAGCCCTACAGCTTCCCATTTAGTGTCTGTGACAGGAAGTTTTATTTCTGAACAAGTAGCTGCACAAAGCAGACGTGATAGAGATCTCACAGCCACAGTGAGCTACAGTTGAGATAAACTTATATTACAAACATTTCAGAAATTAGGAATCCATACTGAAGTGTGGCAAATTGATTCACAATGAAAGAACAAAGATATCACTCAGACCCCTTGCCAGTAATGAAGACTTTCTGCAGCGAGTCTAGAGCAGAACGCATCATAAAAAACTAGAATGCAAGAGTACCACAAATTTAGCATATAAATATCACAGGATTAAAACTCCAGTTAAGCCATCAACTGAAGTGATGATTAAAAGGAAAACATGGCGTTCTCCAGCTTTGCAAAGGAAGCTTTCAAAGCATTTCTTCAAGAAGGTGCCGATACCTATGGCCTGTGCCAATTTGTATTTTAGACAGCTCTGCTGAAAGTTTAGCAGGTTTGTCTAAAAACTGTATAATCCTGCTGGTTTCAATACCATAAAAAAAGCATTTACTAGAAGAAATGAAATGTAACATTTATAGCTCACACTGTTTGCAAGATCTGTGCACACTATATAGTTCTATAATTTCAACAGAATTTAAAAATAAGACAGAGCAGACAATGCAGTAATGTGTTTGTTAGATGGATTTGTTTAGAATATTACACAATTAATGTATACAGTTGTAAAATTTTTAGTGCATTTTTTCTTGCACGTTATTTATGCTACTTATAAAAACCTGAAGATTGCAAATCGGGCATGCTTATCATAACATTTTCAAACTGGGAAAGCTGCAGAACATTTCTCCTACAAGTGTTCACTGCCATGATACAAAACAAATATGTGCAAACTGCAAGGTCCCTAAAAATAGCATTTAATGACTTCATGTACAGAAAGATGTCACTATCTGTTTAAATATGCAAAGAATAAGCTTCCCCAAGTTTATAACATAGAACAATATCCACCACATGCTCCTCCTCCTCCATATCCTTCTTCCTTGTTTGATAACTTTACACCTCTGTTTTGGCTTTCACTTTCCCACAGTCCAGGAGTCTGAATGATTTTTTCAACAAGTTCTTCAAAGGCACACTGTACTCCATCACATGTTTTTGCACTTGCCTCTGGAAAGGGGACACAAGAAGTCAAGTGTTAGCATAACTTTGTGTAACTTTTTTAGTAGTTCTCTTTCAGTTAAGTCTCAACCTACGACCTACACTTACAACCTTCTACAATATATTCTACAAAAACATAACAGTGCCAAAATTAGCAGGTATGCAGATTTATGTCAGCACATAAGGCAGCACCTCAAAAGAGTTTTTAATAGAAGAACTTTCAAGTTGAACTTCACCAGAGTATATGGAGGCAGCTATAGCTTAGCTTTATTTTTCTGTGGAAAGCACTCCAGTAAGAAAAAGGAGGGTTCTTGTCTGATAAACCTGGTTGCTGTTCTGTATGTTAGTCAGAACTGCAATACTACCATACCGTAAGAAGCAAGAATCCATACTGTAGGATTCTGGACCAGTCTCCGTCATAAAACCTATCTGATAAAAAGCAATAAGGGATCTCATTTCTTTTGCAGTTAGCAGAATTCCAGGTAAATTCATTCAGGAGCCTTACTTGAACAAGCCCAAGAAATCTGCTCACAGGTTATAAGAGCAACAGCAACCACTGAAAATCGTTCAGTTCCACTAGGGCTTGCCCTGCTCATCTACACAGCCTTGCAGATACTTAATATATATACCATGCACACACACACATATACATATATTTATAGTTTAATTTTCATTTTGCTTTTCATCTTTCATGCACCTAACAGCTTGTGCCTCAATTTTGAACTTCTATTTCCACATCTGACACTGAAAGATGAAACACAGCAGGGTAGTAAACAAAAATATGTCATTAGTCAGAGATGAAGAACATAAGTCTAAGTATAGAACACATCAATGAACTGCTCTGCTACTAGAACCATCCTATAAAATAATCCCTGCTGATCCTTAAGAGAAACATGGAATAAACATAAAGAGTCAGTTCATCACCCATTTTTTAATTTATCATTACAAGGCTTTGCCTACAAGACTCATTTTATTTTGCAGCAAGATGAGACCAACATATTTGCTCCAGTCATAATTATGTCCTTATTCAATCCCACCCACCATTTAAAAGTTAACGATATACCTAACTATTTTTAACATCCCAGTTCTAATACAGATTTCTGTCAGCTACCAGCTATTTTTCTATACTGAAGGTTGGCTACTAGTGCCAGTTTTCCCTCTTGCATTTTGCTTCTGTTATTATTCAGCAAGTCAGCTGGGAAAAGAAATCAGACAAAACCCCAAAACAGGTTTCATCAGGCTACGGCACAGCCTGTATTCTGTCCTTAATCCTTATGTATTTCAGTATACTCCTTCACAGTTAGAATAGGTACCTGGACATATTCAAGGACAATTCTGAAAAACGGGAATACCCATCATCTTTGTACCTACAGCAATTGAGAAATATCATTAACTGGACTGTGTGCAAGGACTACAGTCCTACAGAAATGGTACTTTTCATTGCGTAACAAAAATCAAGTCAGATCTCTGCAAATACCTATAACATACCTATGAACAACATGGAATGTTTTCTTGCAAATTTGAGGCCTTCATTTCTGTCAACTTCATGGTTTTCCTATAATAAAGACATAGCATTAATATGTATTATTAACAAAATACACCAACTTACTGCAGTTGAATTTGGCTTACCTTATCAATCTTGTTTCCAACTAACATTTTCACTATGTCATTCCTTGTGCAGTATGTTTCCAATTCATTTAACCAGTTATCCAGCTTGACAAAAGTATCTCTTCTTGTGACATCATAAACTGAAAGACATTAACAATATTATTTCCACAATATTTTCCAAGAATGACAGTTTACGTTATAAAAGGAGCAAAAGCTATGGCTTTTTGAATTAGAAAACTGAAGGAGTCCCAAGGATTCCAATCTACTTTCTACACCAATAAGTGGAAAAAGTTGGACATCCATCAGCTCAAATCACTGATGCAGAGCAACTCTAACATTCAGTCAACTACTGAGCTTAGACTAATTTATCTTGAGACACCCCAGCTTACAGGCTTACAGGCTCCAAAGAATTCTGTACTTGCAGATCCCAGTATAGAACACTTACTAACATCACTACACCACAGCTATGCAAAAAGGATGGCATGACCTCCAGCACTGAATTAATTAGTGATAATTAAGACTTGTTTTAACACCCTGCTATGCTACTGATTTAGCTAAAAAATAAACACATCAGCAAATCCTCACAAATACTGGTGAACTACTGAGTTTTCAGTGTTTTACTGTCTTCAATGATTTAGTATTTGTGCGAAATATAAACAGTAAACCATGCTAGGAGCAGAAAGGGCAGACAAAAAAAAGCAGACCTAACTCTAAAATCCACTACCCAATAACTAATAGCTAGCATTTCAAGCTACAAAAGTATTTTTCCTTCATCTTCACGTGCCACGTACAGACAGGCATAAGCAGTTTGTTTCAATGAAATCTGCAACTTGGCTTGCATTTTTAGGAAGCAATATAACAAAGAAATAATCAGGAGGTATTTAATAAAATGGGAGGGCAAATCTCAATAGAAGAACCTTTTGACTCCCACAGTGCTTGATAACTTTCACAGCTTTCAACAGTAAGTGGTAGTTTCAGAGCCAGAAACTAGGTGACTTGGCAAGACATGCCTTGATAGGAATGCAATGCAACTCAGACTTGGGAAAAGGTACATACAAAATAAAACCCATCAAGAAGTCACATGACAGAGGTTATTCCAAGTTAAACAATTTAACTGGACACAATGTCTTATCAAAATCCTCTCAAGTCAGGTGCACCTTCAAAACAATTAAACTTCTCAGCCCTTACTTTAGTCAGCTCCTCACTTCTAGCACTGGAGAAGCAGAACTTCAGAGCTCAGTGCCTACATAACAAGTTTCCATATATAAAGGAAAAGCAAATGAGACTTCACTCTGAAGCTGCAATTATGGGTTTTGCCTGGGTTTTTCCCACACAAATTGGTACTTTCTATATGCCCAGCTAGTCTTTTCTAAGTGATTCTGACTGTGTAACATCACATCAATAGGAAGACAAATAACAAAAAATTCCAGACAGACTCCACAGTGTTTATATAAATTTCATTAGGAAAAAAAGAACAGAGAGAAGGAGAAAGCTGTATACATACTGATACAGAGAGAATACACTGAGGAGAATATTTTATTTTTTTTTTACACTGGACTTAGTAAACACAGGCAAAAATAAAAGGAAATAAATAAAAGACAAATTCCTGACAGCACAGGGACCACAGCTCCAAGCTATCCTTTCATATAGCAGTAGATTTTAATCTCATGCAAAAATCAGAGGTTCTCACGCTGGTCAGACTAACTACATGAGAAAGAGGTCAGACATCAAGATCCTTTAATATGAACTGTTCAACACAGATACAATGATTTTTAATATCAATTAGATATTATGTAAAGGTTATTTGAGTTTATGTAACTCCCATGCATGAAAAACAAAAACATTCAGAATAGCATGCAAGGCTATACTTACCTAGGATAACACCTTGTGCACCTCTGTAGTAACTGGGCGTTAATGTTCTGAACCGCTCCTGACCTGCAGTATCCTAAAAAGCCAATCAGAAAGTTCCATTATTCAGAATTTCAGCACCATCTAGTTTAGCTTTCAGGTATTCTGCTTCTAATGAACATATAAAATAAGACTTAAAGCGTATTTCACTACCAGATTAGCTGAGTTTATTCCATCTCCTGCTGTTTTACTACACATTAACTTTGTAATGTAATCTACCCTGAGAAACAGCTTCTAACTGTTAAATGCAGTAAATAACTGGACTACATGGCAGTAAGATAGCCATTTCTGCAAGGGCGTTTGTTCTGCACCTAGTACTGCAGCAACCAGCATGAGCAGCATAGCTGCAGTACTAACCAAGGTTTTGTAACAGGCATCACACCCATGGCACCAAAACCAGTTCCCTCACTTCAATCGCTTGGTCCAATTAAATTTGATTGAGTGCCAGGGTAAATGCATTAACACACTATGACAGAGCAGAAGCAGAAATATGGTTTCTCTGAGAAACAGGTTTCTCTGGTTTTAAGTAAAGTTGAGTTTACAGCCTCAAATTTAAAGTGCCAAAAGCTCTGCAAAAAAACCCCTAAATATTGCTGTTTTCTTATCAGAGATTAAGTTACAGAGCACACTTATTGCTGACTTTATGCACAGAATATTTAATCAATTTACCCAAGTGAGAAGTGACACATGAAACACGGGATTCTGTGACAAAGAACCTGAATAACAAAACTGGACTTCCGACATTCTACAAACCAATCAATCAATCCCACCCACCTCAAACTGCTTCTGTGCAATGATGAACATTTACAAATTTTCTTTTCCAGTTTACCTCAGGATTATTTCTTTATATTTACCAACATGAAAGAAAATAAACCCTAAGTTAGTCCTATGTAATATTTTCCATCCCATTATCATTCATCATTCTGCTATCAGACTTGTTTTCCTCCTATATGTCTTTTTTTTCTGTCAAGCTATTTCAGTTATTTTCCTTGTCAAACCCATTTATTTTAGTGATCATTACTATTGTAACTAAGACATAAATCCTGTTTGTTACTTGAGATATGAACCGCCTCAAAGCAACACAAGTATTGCAATACATATTTCATGTTTCACTACTACTTCCCAAGAAAAAGTGCAGTATCTTGCTCATACGAGAAACAAGGTTTTATTCTTGCTACAAGACAACACTACTGGGTCTGAATATTCAAGAGATGCTTCAAGTCACGTAAGTCTGCAGGCTTACAGAGAATATTTAAAAAATAGCTTGGAAGTACCTGTTCTTTCTTCATGGCCATAAATGTAGAAATTCTACTTTTAGCTGAAGTAGAAGTTGAATACGCTAGAGCTATGAGTACAAACACTGCCTCTCTTTCAGATGCATCTGCTACAAATAACTCTTAACCTTGAGCCTATAAATGTCCTTGTATGAGGGCTATGAAGTTTAGGCTAAAAATGGGTTTATTATAGAGGTAACATTTGAGCATGCAACAGTAATTCCTAACCTAATACACAACCTAACGTTATAGGCAAAATTTAGTAAAGAAGTTCACCCTTTTAAAATCTGTCAAGTACAGGTAAGAGCGATATAGACAGGGATGTCTCGGATTAGTGAGGGCTAACTCTCTAGATGTTGAACAATGAATTACTCATTAAAAACACTTAGGAATGGCCACGTTCACTTTTTTGAAGTTTGACTGATTTAGTACCATTTAATTCCTTCTCTTCTCTACTCTATCCCAAATAGACCTGGAGTCAAGTGTAGCTCACAGGCAATAGAATCACCCCACCAGCCAGTTGTCCCACAGTTCATTCGACCTTTTGAATGATGCAGTATTAACCTCCCACTGCTCCAAATCACCTTCATATTAATAGAAAAGAATTCTATACAAACTGTACATTATATAAACCATCGCTATTCCTAAAGCAAAACAATACATTAAGAACTTTGGGAGAGACTTACCCATATTGCCAGTTTAGCTTTGTTTCCATCAACTGAAATAGTTTTCACCTTGAAGTCCACACCTAGAACAGGAAAAATATTTTAGTTCTTCAAACATACTACAGTTATCTTTGAAAGAGAAAAGGAAAAAAAAAATCAAACTCAGAAAACAAGCTGTGTTTCGATGTAAACAGGAAGAGTAAGTTTCATTAGCTATTTATGAACCTTGCTCAAAATGCAACATTTTGTTGCTGACAAGCTTTTGCAAAAGCCTAAGGGCCTTTAAGCAATTGACTCAAAATATTTTATGGAAGTAGGGCAACTACTACATTTCCTGTATTAAAGCACATATTCCAGGAGAAATTTTCAAGTTTATAATTCAAATGGGTTAACTTTCTATTCATTACTCACAAACATGTTTTCCTTACACCCCTGGCCTTGAAGAACAATACACTTTAAAACTAATGAAGGTAGCTGCATTTAGGTAGCTATTTGCTCTGTTTCATGATCTCTAAACAAGTCTCATCAAGCTTAGCAAAGTGATATAGGCAGAGAGTCGTGTAGTACATGACTGCTATCCTATGAGAAATAACATTAGATTACACTAATTTAACAAGTGCCAGATTCTGCAACTGGGATCTGGTGCCCCTGGTTGTGTGTACAGACTGGGGAACGAGAAGCTGGTGAGCAGCTGTGGAAAGGGACCTGAGGGTCCTGGTTGACAGCAAGTTGAATATGAGTCAGTAGTGCCAGGAGGGCCAACCGTGTTCTGGGGGGCATCAGGCAAAGCATCTCCAGCCGGTCGAGGGAGGGGATTGTCCCACTCTGCTCTGCACTGGGGTGGCCCCACCTTGAATACTGTGTGCAGTTTTGGGCACCACAATATCAAAAAGACATTAAACTATTAATGAGTGTCCAAAGGAGGGCCATAAGGATGGTGAAGGGTCTGAAGGGAAGCCTCAGGAGGACTGGCCGAGGTCACTTGGTGTGTTCAACCTGGAGAAGAGGAGATTGAGGGCAGATGTCATTGGGATCTTCAACATCCTCATGAGGGGAAGAGAAGGGACAGGTACTGATCTCTCCACTCTCATGAATGAGAAACTTATTTTGTTAAATTATGTCAACTTCTGGTCAATATTTCAACAATTGCAAAAACTTTGGAATCATTTTGTTTTCTCTTTTCCTTTTAAGTTTTCCTAGCCCTCAGAAAAGGTGCTGAGGAATAACTGGCAAAATTTGGTATTTTCAGCAAAAAAACAGAGAGTTTTGGCAAAAGAAAATAAAACCCCTGGCAAAAAACAGGTTTTGCCAGGAGAAAGGAAAAAAACCCTCTTGCTAAAGTCTGTCTTTGCAAAGGAAGAGATAAGGTGTTAGCGGTCACACAGTTTAAGTCGTTTGTTGCTTAGTAACCAGGCGGAGGCCTAACTCACTCCGGCCAGGGAACCTCTATACCCTGACTCAGCAAGGTTTAAACTGCCGGTTTCGCGTGGCTGGGCGGAGGCGGATTCTTTTGTCTTCTGTCCCTGTTCTGGGGTGGGGTGAAAAGTAAAACTTGCCTGCTTTTCCCAGGAGCAAGTGAGAGAGCCTTCCTAATTTACAAAATTGGGACTCTGCAACTTTCTGGTTGGAGAAAGAAGTGCTTTTGTCTTGCAGTCTGGGAGGGGGGAGAGGGGCCACAGGAAATCCAAACCTCTCTCCCTCTGAATTTTCTTGCCTTACAGGATATGGGGGGGGGAGGGTGAAGAAGCAGGAAGCAAAGCCCAAAACCTTTTGGGAAAGCAAAAAACGCTACCTTCCTCAAGGAAAGCTAAGGAACCTATTAAGGTTAACCTGCTGCCTAAAAAGCAAAGATTCTCAAGGGAATAAACAAACTGAGTTCCTTTCTGTTGTCTAAAGCTCTTACAAGCTGCCAACTACTAAGATCAGTATAGTATCCTAACTCCTATAACTAAAGGTCAAAGATAGAATGGCAAATCAGTATAAATTTATATTGTTAATAACTTGGAATGTCTAAGTTTGTCTCCACAAAACCAGAATACTGGATGCATGCCTTAACAAGAAATGGTGAGTCACTTCGGTAAAAATGGAAAGAGCTGTTATCCGATTCCTGTGATATCTCCTAAAAATGAAGTCAACCTCAACAATGAAGAACCACACTGAACAGTGAAGTCGAATAAAGCAACAACAGAATCAGAGACTGTAAAGTAAAATCACTGAATGCTTTTCCTTTTTGTGTTTGCAGTACAGTCTTCTAGTGTAACAATGTAATATCAAGTTTTGTTTTGCTGTTAAAATGTTTGTTCTCTAATTGCATCTTCAAGTGAAAAGATTCCTCGATAATTCATATGAGGATTCTTACAAGATTTCATGTGAATGTGAAATTGTGGTTGACCATGGGCTTGTATACTCCTTCCTACCTCCGCAGAGCAAGTAAGGAAACTAATGCAAAATGTCCCTTGTAGTGAAATAAAGTGCTCCCGAGGCGTAAGGAGTGGAACATTGAGAATTTATTTTTTAAGAAATGCCCCTCAGGAAGCCCACTCCTGTGTGTGTGTTTGTTGTTTGTAACATGTATGTAACTTTTAAGAGGTAACTCTCCAGAGGAAGGAGCAAGACTTCGGGAAATTTGCTGTAACTTTCAAGAGGTAATCTCTGGAGATCATTGCTCTGAATTTGTAATGTAACTTACAAAAAGAGGTGAAATTTTGGAAATTAACTTTGACAAGGGGCCCCCTGGATAAGCTCACCCCGCTTTTTGTTGTAACGTAACTTTTTAAGAGGGGTCTTTCCAAGGAGAAAAGTGAAAAATTCTGGAAATTAGCTGTAACTTTAAGCAAGGTAACCCCAGGAAATGTGTTCACTCCGCTATTGTGGTAACATGGAATATAATGCAAAAACTCTTGTTTCAAGTATTAGGTCTGAGTATGTAGGAATGGTTTAAATCCAGCTGTACCTTTAACTTCCCTGAAGCAATCACATTACTGTATAACAACTATAAATATCCTTTCCCATGATACACTCCAATAATGCTCCTGAACCATGGCTGGTGGGAGGGACGAGGGTGGTCTGGGATATGTGTATTTATTTGTTTTCTAATATTGTCTAATGCTGAGTGTATTATTAAGTAAGCAAAGACTCTGAAGCGCTGCACATCACCGAAAAAGGATGCTGCCCATGGATGAAAGTGAAAGAACTGTTCCAGTCACTGCAACAGACAAGACTGAGTTCCTGAATTCTCCACCCACATTCTGAATTACATCTCATTTGCAATATTAAAGACTGAAGGGGTGAGAGATAATGATTTGCATAGAGTAGATTTTCAATATTGATTGAATGCCTGGGGTTTTTTTTGCTTAGTGGTATAACAATTGCCCACTGCTTTCCTCTTCCTTCTATACTTTTCCTTCTTCTGTCAGCTAGGTTCTCCTACTGCTGCTGCTACAAGAAGAAGAAAATCCAATTAAATATGATTCCAGTGGTTGTCCCAGCCCAGGAGTGGAATGTGAGATCCTGGATCTGAATCTCACTGAATTATTGATATGGGTCAGAACCAACTCACTGTGAGTGTGTGCATATGGGGAAGGGCTGGGCCTAGACCTGCAGGAACATGGTAAGGCCTGCACACAAGGCCTGTGCTGAGGGCACAGGGCAGAGCCAGAAGGCAAGGCCTGCAGTCCATATGGCAGAGCTGAAGGCCCTGCCACCAGACTGTCAGACAAGGCAGACCTGCCTGGTAGCCCACCCACACCACACTCCTGCAGCCTGTGACTGGCTACAGCACAACTCACTCGGGCCTGGAAGGCACTGCCCGGATATCCTGCCTGGGAGGGAAAACTGAACTCTATAAATACATAAGACTCCACGTGGTCTCTCTCTCTCTTTCCTTACGAAGTTGAGTCAGGGGAGGTTTAGGTTGGGTATCAAGAAAACGTTTTTCACCCAAGGGGGTGGCTGAGCACTGGAACAGGCTCCCCAAGGAAGTGGTCACAGCACCAAGCCTGACAGAGTTCAGAAGGGTTCAGACAACACTCTCAGGCATATGGTGTGATTGCTGGGTTGTCCTGCATAGGGCCAGGAATTGGACTCTCTTATCTTGATGGGTCCCTTCCAACTCAGCACATTCTAAAATTCTGTGATTCTATGAAACATGTCAAATAAGCTTTGGATTATTTCAACACTTATTTATATATTTATTTAAAGAGATATTTATTTACCTCTTGCAGGGATTCCAGCAACACCATGAACTCACCAATATCACGCTCAGTGACCAAGAAAAAAGCCAAAGTGACAACAGGATAACGGTTCTGCTGTTCAATCATCTACCTCAACATTTAAAAATTCATCCCCTTTCACATGTCCTCCCCCCACAGGAAGTAGCAGCCTACTACTTGCTCAAGGACAAGTTGCAGAAAGCTCAAGCCAAGGAGGACAAGACGTTAGTGACTGTGCAAATTTAAAGGATATAGCAACACACCTCAGTTTGAGAGGCTGAGTACAGTTATGATCCATTATGCTGTAATTTAATCCTTAGGTTACTAATAGCAAGTAACTAACTGGAAGTATGTTTCAACTATTTTGGAGCGACTTTCACTCCCTACCAGGCAGCAGCCCTGAAGTGAAATAACTGGAAAGTTGATACCTTTAAAAAAAAATCTTTCAAATGCAACAGCAACCTTTTTGTACTCCAAATTAAAATGGCAGCCATCACACTTGCTACCAGAAAAAGAATTTATCTATTCTAACACAAAATGAGTAGGGCTGCATTTATATTCCCAAGGTCATGCAGATTACAAACAAGTGCAAACAGCTGCCAAAATATGTTCAACTTAAAGTCACAAAGAGTATATAGGATAACTAAGAAACTGCACATTATAAGCAGATTTAAACTTTAGTTGCACTGGGATGTTGCACTGAAGTTTAAAAGAGCTTTATTTAAAAAGAATATAAACATAATTTTTATTCCACTGTTTCACAGCTTCAGCTCACTAGTGTTCCCAGAAGTGTCAGGTGATTTTCAGACAACATTCTGCACTGGAAGAAGCTCATACTCTTTATTTCAAGCAAAATTTTCCCAAAGTACACTAACTTTTGCAGTAACTGAACAGAACTTTGTTTTTTTCAGGGACTAAGGCTCCTAGTCCCTAACTTAGCAGTAATATAATGCTCAGTGGCATGCACAAAAGTTCTAGAGTTATGTTCACAGAAAAGAACAGTTGCTATTAATTTTATTTTAAACACATGTTCTTGGAACTTTACCTAGTTCACAGAAGACTGCTATGCTAGCAATTTGACACAAATTGATCCTAAAGAACATCCTGTCCTGTCCATTTTTCAGCACTCGGTAGGAGTTTTTAGACTAATAGAATCTTTCTTCCACTGTAATTGCACAATTCTTCCCCTAAACTGCAAAAATCACCATTGTTCAGTCAGCGTGTCCCAGAGTTCACAGTGCCTTCTTTTATCCATTAGCCTGGCATCAGAACTTGTAACTGCAGGTATTACGAGTCTATTGGATACTTTACAAAGCAAAGTATGTCACAGCAGTTTCAAGAAACAAAACTTTTTTCCTTAGGATAAACTTATTAGGTGTATTCTGAGGCCACAGTATCCTTCTCCCATTCAGTAAACAGATTCAGTATCTTGTGCTTGCACAGCTCAGTAATTTTCATTTAATGGAAAGTGTATATACACCTTTCTGTTAGCCTTGCTGCTAGCTTAAAATTTACTTTTAATTTTGCATGAATGATGCAAGTAAAATAAGAAACTAAAATTGCTAATAAACCCCATGTTAAACTGGTAATTGTAAAGCAAAAGCATGAAAATGAACTAATAGCCCACCAAGATACATCCTTTAAAGTGATCAAGGCATGTCAAATATAATTCTAGTAAATCAAGGAGTTCAACATATATATAAGTCAATGAACAAAAAGAAAACTTTTAAATAACTATGGTTTTGATTGTCATTCTGCCATAAAAGATGATAAATAGAAAAAAATAAGGCTCAAGAAAATCTTGTTGAATTGAACAAACAGGGTACTTGTGTTCTCTAAACACATCAGTGAAATAGAGACACGTTTGTGACAGGTGCCAGTTCTGAGCTTCCAAGAGTGATGTTTCTACCCTTGACAGCAGAAAGCTGACACTGCTTTCCACCATGCCTTGGAAGGCAGCCAGAAACAAGACAGCACTATAGACTGTACTCCTGTGTGTTAACACCTACTGCCTCAGCACTGCACACCAGCATACTATGGACTTCCAGTCCGCAAGGAATAGCTTTGTCACTGATACTGCTGTCACACAGAGGCCTGTGTGCCATGCTGAATTTACAGGAAGTGCAAAATGAGCTAGAGTGAAGTATTTGTGTTACAGGTAAGTGACAAGTTAGACAGCTTAGAGCTAGAGGACTCCAAATGCAAGGAAAGCTAAGAAGTTAAGAGACATCAGATCTGTGCAATACATCACCTCATTTATGAAACAGGGATTGCAGTGAACACTTATCTAGAATCTCTCATACCAAGAGCAAGCAAGTAAAGACAAGCATGAGCAGTAAGGAAAACAGAAAACATTGGGATATATATACTCTGGTAAGATCCATGTGATGAAGCCCTATGAACAAGCCATTCCAAGGAATGCAAGGAGGACAGGTAATCTGCTAGGTTGACTGAAACACTGTTAATCCATCTGAAGCTATTTGCCCAAAGCAGCTTATTCTTCCCAGAATATCATAGGATTTTTACAAAGTTCTGAAGAGAAGCCCACACAGAACAATCATTCTGGGTTTCATTTAAATTGTACCCAGTAGGTCTGTGCAATGCATGAAGATAAGGTACACCTCAATTGGTCATTTCAGGGGACCAACAGTACTGCAGTCAAGACTTTCCCTCAGTGGTCTTGTGTGCAGTTCTTACTATATGTTAAAAAAAAAAAAAAGCAAACCAGACATGTCATCACTTCGCTTTCTAAACCAAATAAAAAAATATAGTCCCTTTAACCAGGTCAGCAGTCAGTATGTGGATCACATTGAAAGAAGACATTATTTTAGTCCTTTGATTTTGGAAAAGCACCATACTCTTCAGTTTCAACAAGAAAGGCTTAAAAACTTCTTCTGTCCCCAAACTCAAAACAAGTAGTGTTTAGTTAGCAAAAAAAAGAACTCCAAGTTGAGACTCACAAGGTGTTTTGACATTTCACTGTCTTGCAAGTACCTGAATTTGGCACCTAGGATCTGTCTTCATTCAGCACAGAACAGTTACCTCTAAGAGCTCACTCAAGTTGCTTTATCTGTATGAACAACAAATCCTACCCCCAATTTAAAGTTGCTATGTTGCTTCTTAGAAATATATTCACCAGAAAAATGGCAATGACACTGCAGGAAACAAGAAAACAAGTAAGAACCACCTAGATTCTGCCCTCTTCCAGTTAAGTGGAAAAAAAAAATTAATCTGCTACCCCTAATGAGTGCTCCACACACCGTGCTGTGAGACTTTCACAGCTGGGGTCACAGTAGCTCTACTGCACAATACCATAAATATCAGCTAGAGGGGTCTAACAGAATGATCTACACCAGCATTTTGCTCAGTCTCTAGAAACTGATTTTTCCTGCCAAATTATCACATTCATTCCAGATTAATGGATTTGTTTCAGAAATCAAACTCTACCTGAAGTAATGCTCACACTGAGTTCCCTTCCTCCTTTTCCACATCAGAAACAGAGCAGGGGAGGACCTGCCAGCAGTAAACCTTGAATTGTTGCTATTTAATAACCAATGATTAGCTACTACACTTGGGCATTTTGGCAAACGCAAACAGGAAGAATTACTTCAAGAAATAATTCCTTTGTTTCTCAAATAGTGTACGGATGTCAGGTTTTTACAGTGGTAAAAAATATCATGTGCAAACAGCAGAATGAAGAAAAACCCACAGTTAAAAACAAACAAAAAACCCCCAACAATAAAGATGCCCACACTGAGTCTACTGGTATCCAAAACATCGCAAAAGCTGAAGCAGCTATTCTGTACTAACTTCCTGGCCCACGTGGTTGACTTATTAAGAAAGTAAGAGGATATGAAGTATACACAGTGCCAAAACTATTAGATTAGAATACAAGATTGTCATCTTCACCACCTGATCTATAACATTCCTGTTTCCTTCCATGCTATCCGCCCTTATAAACTGAGGTGGGGCTCCTTGCACAACTTCATTTTTTACAAGTAATGGAATGAACAAAAATAGGCCACGTTCCTCCTCTTGGCTGCTCAGTGCTTTATATGAAATAGTATTCCTGTATTTTATTAACATTAATGAAAAATAGATTTATTTATATAATCCTTAATCAATTAGAGCTGGATTTGTTTACCAACAGCTGAACTCAAAGAAAAAATTTTGTATAAGTTCTTGAACAGAACTCTTTCAACAGAGAAAGCCAGAAATGCAACTGAAATGCATTGTATGAAAAAGTATCTCCCTTTTTTCATTATTTTCAATATATCTGACTATATAATATTTGAAATATAATATTTAATTGTATTACATATTATATAATAAAATAGTAAGATTTGAAGTATTATACATTTTGAATATAGAATATTCAAAATATAATTTCAATGTTTTCCATTATTTCAGTTATTACTTTGGCACAGAGTTGCATCACATTCTTAAAAGTTTCATATTGCTCCTTTGACAACCAATCTACATAGGGTGTCCTGCATTCTGGGCCACTCTCCTCCAGCACAGCTGACCTACACTGATAGGTATCATACCAGCACAGCAGTGACACATCACTGCTTTTTTCCCAGCAGCTCTAGATTCTTGGCTCTCTTCCACTTTGTTCTCAGAGTCTAGCTGGGAAGGAGCTGATTACTAAGTAGAAGAGAAAAAGGCACATTGTAATTTCCTCCCTACAGAGGAAAAGCAGAAGGCACACAGACCGCAGTACACCCTAGTATTGTCAGAAGTTGCAGGAGTTAACATCCCCTATTAATGAGTCTTAAGATAGCTACTAAGTATCACATTACACAGAACACAAGGTCTGGACAGCAACACAACTATTCAAATAACTTTACAGCTATCTTGCAGAGATAAATCAGTAGGAGACCTAACAGTAGCTCTTACATTTCCATTTTAGCTCAAAATGCTGCAAACAGTGAAGTGCAGGTTACTCCACTGGAGCTTTTCCCTGACCACACCTATGACCTCCATTTGCATGGTGATGGGTGTCACTCATATCTGCTTTTTCAGTCAAGGATAAATTTTAGCATAAAGGGGACAACTACACACCAATATAGTCAATTCCCTACACCAATGAGCACCACATACTAAAACTGTGTCCACGTCATCCCTGCATTACAGAAAGGCAGACATGTCTGAATTTCACATCAGGCATGTCTGAATAAACTACAGTTTTCCATTGAAAATGGTATGAATTTTTCTAAGGTAGTATCAGTACATACTTACCAATTGTTGCTGCAAGTTCTGGGTCGAATGTATCATCTGTGAACCGCAGCAGAAGGCTGATAGGGAGGAAAGAAAAATAAGAGATACTATTACTGCAGCATACCCATAGCTTGCTGGAAGCCTACAAATCACAAGTCTGAAAGGAACAGCAGGATCACACAGCTAAACAAAAACACAGCTTATTGTCTTTCGTAGGAGAGAAATTACAGAAAAAAGAAGGAAACACGTAAAGAATACAGCTGACAAGCTCTGCTCCCTGAGCCCTCAACTCCTTACTGCATGTGTTACCAAGTATGCCTCTCTGAAAACAAACTACCACACAAGGTGTGAAATCAGTTGCCTGAACAGACACATGATTGGCTTCTCAAAGCATTTTACTTCTACCTTAGTCTATTCTTCTTCTCCCAGAATTCAGCACAAAAGTAGTATTTTTTTTGTTTTGTTTCAATATTGCCTCACAGTATTTCTGTAAGCTTGAGAAAAAAATTCTAAGTCAGCTTTTCATCCCAGAAATAACTCCTTGAACTGGGCACACAGGGGAATAGTAAGGACAACACCCACCAGAAATAAAGACACAGAAATTGAAGAGTAGAATTAGCTCACCACTGGTTTACGATTTTGTATCTTTTTGTATATAAGGGCTTCCACACACACACTTCCCCCTATCCTGATGAGTATGTTTACTACCAATAGAAAAACAGTTACAACTAAGATTTAAGGACACATCACACTGTAGTAGTGTAGGGTCCCTTAAAGAAATAACCATAATGCCACTCTACTTGTGCCAAATGTAAATATTTTTGCAAGAGACAGATTCTCAGCACAGTTTCTAAAATTACCAGACTTAGGCATCTGTGGCAAGTGCGTATTACCACGTGGCAGGCAGCTGTTTGCTATGACCCAGCAGCTTCTACTCATTCCCAGGCTGGAAACAAAACCTTATTTACTTTTTGGTCTTCCCCCCCACCCTGTTCTTTACTCCTCTCTCCTCTTTTTTGCATATGAATTCAGTAGTCAAGTGCTTTTTAGCATTTGGTCACAGTCCTGCATTGACAAAAAAAATGACTACTGAAATTCTTTTATTTCAATGACACTGGGTGGCAACTCTAAACTTAACCGTAGATCATCCTTTTTCCCCTACTCCCAAACCCCAAAACCAAATGGTAGCTTTATTTACCAAAGAATAATTAAAATAAATCATAGCATATAGCTTTTTACCAGTACCTTCCGATGGTTGTATCGGGATGCTACTGAAAAGCAGCTATTCCTTGTTACAACCAGAACTAGTTTCATTTAAAACAGACAGAATGTGGAAATCTTATATTACTACTAGAATAAAATCATCATTTTACCTCTCCTGCATGCCAAGCACAGCCAACTTCTACCATCCCCATCTTTCTTTCATATGTAGCTATCATCTTCTACAAGCCCACTCACAGCCACCAGGTTTAAGACAGAATTTGTTCAGAAGTCAGGACTCCAACCATTTACTACACTGTGCTAGTACCAGTTTAGCATCTGATCTTCCCTAGTCAAGTAACAGGTAAGGGGCACAAATTCAGGAACAGTTCAATACTAAGTTCCTGTACCTGAACAATCGCAGTGTTGTCTTTTAATAGCAATTTTATTTCCTCTACATAATGCCTCTCTTAACAAGTTTTCCAATGTGAAGAAATAAGTATATAAATAGGTAAACAAAACCACTGTGCGTTTTATATGCCTCAGGAAAAATTCTTCCATATGGCCACTCATACCTAAGAGATGACCTTAACTACAAGAAATTTGCTCAGATCCTGTCTGTCACCAGAGGCCTACTGTACTAATTATCAACTCAGCAGCTACCTCAAATGAGTAATTGACAAATTTTTAACAAATATAGTTGGGTTTTTTCTAATCAGCAACTTCTATGTACTTTAGGCTCATGATAGAAGACACAGACTATTGCCATAAAAATACCAAATCTAAAATAACCGGTGTGGCACATTCCCAGATGCCCTCCTGCATTTACATCCCTTATAACCTGTGGTCGAACAACTCTGCTGCCTCCCCGTGCTCCCCCGCACGCATCCAGTGCTGGGTCACTTGCGACTCTGTAAACATTATGGACTAGATATTAACCCCAAAGCGCCATGGAGATGTACAAGGGCACCCACCTCCCCAGGAAACAACGGTGCCCTGGGCACAGGGCGGCCCAGCTGCCCCTGGCCGGGCCGGCAGAGCCTCCGCCGCGCCTCTGTTTCCAGCTGGGCCCGGTAGACACCGGGGCCGGCGGCTGCGGAGGAGGCAGGGATAACCCCTGTCCTGCCGGCGGGCCGGCCAGGAAGGGGCGCGGGCGCTCCCCCCGCGGGCCCCGCTCGGCGCAGCGCAGGCCGCGCCCAGCCGGCGCCGTCCGACGCGGGGCTTAGGCCGGGCCCGGGCGGTCAGGAGAGGCTGGGTGAGGCGGACGCTCCCTCACCTGGACTTGCCGACGCCGCTCTCGCCGATGATGAGGATCTTGAGGGTGGTCAGCACGTCCTCGTCCATCCCGACGGCACCCCCGGACCTGCCCCGACCCTCCGACGCTTCCCTGCGCAGCTGCGGCGGCCCCACTGCGCCTGCGCGGGGCCGCCCGCTGTTTGTTTACAGCGCGCGGGGACGGATCCCGCGGGGCGCGCGTGCGCGGGGCCCGGGACGGGGGAGCGCGCGGGGGCTGCTCCGCGCCCGCGGCGGTGACGGGATAGGGGGTCCCGTGGGGTCGCGGTTGGGGTGTGGGGAGACGGGAGGCCAGATAAAATGCCACAGGGTTATTAGACATTGCAACGAGCTGCCCAGGGAAGTGGTGGAGTCGGCGCCCCTGGAGGTGTTTAAGGAAAGACTGGATGTGGCACTAGGTGCCATGGTCTGGTTGACGCGGTGGTGTTCGGTTCATAGGTTGGACTCGATGATCTCAGAGGTCTTTTCCAAGCTAATTGATCCTGTGATTCTGCACGCTGGCGGCCGGCCAGCGCCCTGTGCGGGAGCAGAGCCAGCAGCCACCTCCCGAGGAAAGCGGCTGGTCAGGAGCCCCCCACCAAGGAATGGGCTCTGTTGGTCACAAAACAGCAGTGCAGACCAGTTAGTATGCGACACTAAATACTTTTCTGCTAGCAGAATCTTTTGTTACCCGTTAAAAGCCCGAAATGTTCTTCAAAAACTGCTGTGACAAAGTCCAACCAATTCAGCTAACCTGCTGTTACAGCTTAAGACCTGCCTCAGGCCATGTGTAAGCAAGTGCGACTCTTCTAAAACTAGTGGAGTATATCACAGGTGTGGGTCTGAGACTGTCCTCGGCCTGTGCTACAGACCTTGGCCCAGCTGGGCAGCCCCTGGGCAGGCCGGAGACTGACTCCATCACATACATAAACAAGCTCAGGCTCTTCCACAGTCACACAGAGATCAGGCTATGTCAGCAGTTTGCACCAGGCAGGTGCACTGAGAGGCTGTGGTGGTTTCTGTCAGAATGCTGGCTGCAGAGGGAACAGTTCTTTCTGCAGAGTCCTGATTCTGCTGTGCCTTCAACTGAGTTCCAGGGTCAACACAGGAACCATTCTCTTGTGTTTTTGTGGTAAATCTCTTTGTTGCCTGGCTCCTTCCACTTACAGGATCTCAGTCAGCTCTCCTGACTCTTACCTTACAAAAATAACTCCCAGGATGAGTACAATAACAGTAATTATCCTATTAAATTATGCAGACATATTCTATAATTAAACGTGCAAATGGCTGGCTGTGTTTACAACAGGACTGTGCCTGTTTATTAGGAATAATCTGAGATTTGTTGAAGGTGTGACTTAGTTTTCGTAGTTTGGATTGTGCTTTGCAGTCACACAAGAAAGCAGTGTGTCTATACTCTGTAGTTTTTGATGAAGTGTACAAGAGCTGTGGGATCTTAGCATGGAACGGGACGAGGATTTTAATTTGGAAGGTATATCCAAACAGCAAAGAATTCTACTAAGGCTACTGAATCCCTTGAAGTCAGAGAGTATTTGTATTCTGGGATTTGACTTCTTCTATTGAAGCTGTAGAATCAAACTATGCAATATGGATATTAGTCCTGATTCAGATCATAAGTCTATATCTCACCCAGAATGAAGGGTTGGTCAGGATGGCATTCAGATCTTTTACCTTAATGATGAGCAGCTGCAAGAAAGAAGGCAAAACCTGCCCTAAATGAACAATTCCCTAGCTCATGCTTATAGATGTGGTGGTTTAGACTTTCCTAAGCATGCCCTTTGAGAATAGGTATTTCTCCATGTTGTCCCCCTCAGGTGGACCTAGGTAGTCCTCTTACTCTGAGATTGGATCTGACTGCTGCAGTCAACCTGTTTGCTGTCTATATATCTATTTTAACTCTGGAAAGCCAGGCCTGTTACAGGAGCCAGTGGTAGTGGATAATTAAAGTAGTTCAGACCTAGCTCCTTCAAAACAAGAGTATTACTTATTCACTGAAAGATGTAAAATAATCAGGACATCTTTCAACAGACTTTTTTAGGGTTTCTTCAGTGAAGCTGTCTCTGAATTGGGAGAAACATCTAGCCTGCTGTAATTCATAGGTGCATGTCTTTTTTCTTGTCTGCCTTTCAGCACTCATCAGGAGTCCTCACTAACTCATGAAAACCCAATCCCTTGAAAAATGCTGGAGGGTTTTTTCTTTATATCATTTACTATCCCATTTGATCCTGACCTCAGATGTGGGAGCATCAAGCTATAGCAGCTTGCTTAGCCCTCCCTTATTATTAGTCTTCCTAGAAGAATACTGGGGATTTTTTTTTTATACTATGCTGTTTCCTCTTGATTTCTTCTCAGTGATCTCTGCATTTCTGACACAAAGGCACTGAGCAGATCAACTTGACTGCACATAGTATTTGTAAATAATTACACATATATATTTCCTTATTCTACATACAATGTTTCCCTTCATGCCGTTACAGCCTTGCATGAAGGCTACCTGATTCCTGGTCTGAAGTAGAAAAATGTCAGGTCTATCTCAGCTCAGTGTCCCTGAGTTATTCATTACTTCAGGGATGTGACAAAGAGGCAAAGACATCTTGACAATGATAGCTCCTGTATTCTCAGGAATTAGAATTCCGTGTTGACTGTATTACAGACTTGGCTATATCCTTGACCATGAAAACAAGCCATTGGGACTGAATGATTGTGAATACCTTTCTCAAAAGATGGGAATTTATTTACAGTCACTCCCTTAGGGTTGGGATCTATAATGAAAGGGCCATTGCACTTCATGTATCCTCAAGGGGCTCTGGACCAGTTGCACAGTGCAGTGCCCTTAGGCAGTCATTGAGAGCAAGTAAAGGCCAGAAGGACCTCCATCTGAACCAGCTGCAGTGTAACCCTGGCAACAGAGATGAGTGTGTCAGTTAGAATAGGTCAGTAACGTTAGAGACAACCTGGAATAAACAACAAAGAGCTCCCTCAGTCTCATTCTGTGTCTGAAAGACACTTGGGAGCCTTTGGTAAACTCACACCATCTACCTTAGCTTCCAGAGCTTAAATCTGGGGATACTGGCATTTCCTATAGAAGACTGCAAAAGCAGCAAGGAGTGATAGGCCAAGGGAGCTAAGGGTTTGTGTTTTTGCTGCCAGCGCTGCCTAGTTAGCATTAGCTGTGAAATTCTTGATGGGAGAGTGTCTCCTTAACCACATGGCTACCCTTTATGCCATCACAAGTAAAATCAGGCCTTGAAATGTTTAGGCTGTTTAGGTACATGAAAGTCTCAGGATTATGCACCTGTCTAGGCGTTAAAGTCCCTAGTTCATTGGTACTTCCAAAGACTTTCTCAGTTATGCCAGCCATGCACAATGTCCAGCAGAAGCTGAGAAGCTCAGCCACTTCAGAGAGAAGTTTACAGCAATCTACAGTCTCCTGTTGCAAAGGCTAATCCTGCTGTCCGATTTCCAGGCTGTGAGGCTGACCCATATGTTGTTGGGGCAGTGAGTCAGGAGTTATGATTCACAGTAAAACAAGCATGATTTCTAAACTCACCAGTCCCTCCCAGCAGAAGTGACACACACGGACACTCATTCTTTTTTGCTGCTTCATGCGATAATTTGCAATGTTTGTAAAAGTGACACTACGTGTGTCAGATTAAGGGAGGTTCCTTTTCTGTGTGACATCCTTAAGCACAGTCAGCACATCCATAAGATTTCACATTGACCAAATAAAAGAGAGAAGTGAAAGTGCTGCAGCAGTCCCAGAACTCGGGGCAGGATTTCTCTGGAGACCACACTGCAATGTAAATGATCCTGCTGTGGCTGACCACTCCTTTTCTAAAGAATCCAGCCTATTTTTATGAAGAAACTACATAATAATCTTTTTCTTCGCCCTTCCAACAGCAGCCAGAGCTGAACACTCCCATCTGTTGATCCTCTCAGTGTCTGCTTGGTTTCTGTGAACAGTAAGGGGGATTTAAGACTATAAGCACATTAGCTCTGGGCAATTAAAATACACTGCTTATAGTCAACACAGTTAAAAAAAGTGGATTATACACAGCATTGGGCCTGTAATTAGCTATTTGGGGAAGAACGACAAGAAAAATATTGTTTCAGCCACTCAAAAAGCCATGGTTGTATATGAGGGTGATATACCAGTATTTTTCAGAGAAAACCAACATATATTTTGAAGATCATTAACCAAGTCTTGCATAGTAATCATGAGTAGATTCATGATTTTGTGCTAGACTAATGTGATTGCTGAAGATAATATGAAAAACTTAGTTACGTGCTTTGAAATTTTATTTTATTATATATGAGATGTAGCTCTCCAGAGGCACATCTTGCTTCTTTGCTGGAAAATGGTGAAAAAGGCTAGCCACATTGAATTTTCTTCAGATAAATTGATTAATCATTTAATCCCAACTAATGCAAGCAGTAATCTTGAAAATAACAGCTTATCTTTCTGCATTGTGTCATGAACCTTTAAACCAAGGACAGCTTTTAAGGCTGGATGACCTAAATACTATTTTTTAAATGTCTCTAAAGCAACCACTGAAGTCTGTAAACAATAATGATACAGGAGTAATTAGTCTTTAGGATTGTTTGATTCCTTACAGAACATTAACTATGTTTTAAATAATAAGAAATATTATATTATATTGATATTTTAAGTAAATCAATAGTCTACTGTACATCGACAAGGGTGAGGCAACAGATTTCAAGGGATGCAGTAAGAACAACGTTTCAATGTTAGAGTTTTCCTACAGTTACACTTCACGTGTACTTCACGAACATACTGAACAGTCAGTGCTGAGAATTTCTCTTTTTTCATAGCAAGTGTAATTGTATCCAGTGCAGCACAATATATAATATATTTGCCACTGAGATCACAGAATCATGTGAGTTGGAAAAGACCTCTGAGATCATCAAGTCCAACCTTTGATCACCACCTTGTCAACTAGACCATGGCACTAAGTCCAGTTGTTTCTCAAGCACCTCCGGGGATGGTGATTCTACCACCTCCCTGGGCAGTCCATTCCAATGTTTAAAAAACCCTTTCTGTTAAGTAATTCCTCTTGATGTCCAACCTAAACCTCCCCTGATGCAGCCTGAGGCTATATCCTCTCGTCC